AGGGCGCGCGCGCACGCGCGTGCGCAGGCGCGAGCCACGCGCGGCTCGCTCTAGTGTGAGCAATGAAGCTGCTGCTGGCCTTGTTGGCCACGGCCACTCTGTCCAATGGCCTTTTTCGACTCGTTGGGCAAGTGCCAAATGAAAAAGACTCACGAAATTGGCGAGTGCTTCTTGTTTTCAGTGAGACTTGCCCAAGAAAGGGTACCCTCAAAGAAGCACACATCCCGGGGATGTTCCCAAATGTGGCTCCTTTTTAGCCAGGCTCGCAAAAGGTGAAGCTGGTCAATTTCAGGCCCTCTGGGCAAGTGAGGCCACAGCGGTGAAGTTCAAGCCGCATGTGAACAAGACGCACAAGGTGCTTCCCAAGGGCCTCCTGAGGCTGGAAGGGGTTGGATTCAACTTTGGATGAGGCCGGAGAACTGGACGCAGGACTCAAAATGGTTGCCTCTTAGGGTTCGTTTTATTGAGGCAGCTCCTGTAATTTAACAATTAGTATGGTTCTCCTGAACCGAAGTTGGCATCAATCAGGGAGGAAGATGAGATCGGCGTGATCTTGAGTTTGTTGTGACATGGAGAGCGTACGACGGGTGTTTGTCAAAGTCGCTCGCCAGGGACGATCTGCAGTTCCCACTCTTTGTGCACATTCCGAAGACAGCAGGCCTCTTGTCTGGGAAATGATCAGACCTGCTGATCGGGTTCTAACCTCCAAAGAACAAACATGTGTGTAGGATCTGAATTTTGCGTCAGCCAAAATGAGAAGGATGTCCATTTGAAGTGTATCCCAAGCAAAAGCCATGACCTGGAAACCATCTTCTCTAGGGGCGAGGGGGCATGTTCCATATCCCTTGGATAAATGGGGCCCGAAGGCTTGCTGATGCTCATACCCCCCCCCAAAAAAAATGCAGTGTAAAGTGGGTTGGAGCAAGGGGCATTAACTGCCACTGCGCATCTCGTGTGTTGTTGGCGCTTCTGGGATGATTCCCGACTCCGTGGAAGTTGGCTGCCGCCATGCGGGTCTTTCCGCCAGGGGAGAGATGAGTCAGCTTGCGCCAAGTAGGCCGAGAGGAAACAATATGTGTAATTTGTCATAATTTGTCCAGGCCTTCTTTTTATTAGAGATCCCTTTGATGTGAGAAGTGGAATTGGGTCTGCTTCTCAGGCAGCTTCAACCGCAAACAGCAAGATAACTGGATGTGCCGCAGGATGCCACGAGGGAACAGTTTGACACAAGAATCATGAACCTCGCATTCATCTTGGTTGCAGGGTCATCAGACCAATGAAAGGTCCAGTAACCTCCGAGTCAACTCTCGTGACCCAAGTTACGTGATCAGAGTGAACCAGCCGGGCACAGTGACCCATGTGAACCGAAGCTAAAGCAGCCTTTGTTCAGAACATCAACCGTTGGCCCGATGCCCTCGGAGTTTCCGAGTGACCGATCCAGGCACCTCGATCTGGAAGGCGCTGGGGCCCAACTACACGGACTCCGGGCGCTACCCCGAGGTGCCCTTCTTCTGCATGAAGCACAACCCGCCCCAGGAGCCACGCGCAGCGCGCTCGGAATTGACCACTCGGCTGGACCCCAGGAATTGAAGAGGAAGGGACTGGCCCAATTGAGGAATGGATCCAAGGGTTTATGCCTGGTGAACGTGTAATCCATTGGGAAGACTGCTCGAAAGGTGTTTGAAGGATCCCATGGTCGGAAGTTGGGAGGCATACGAAGGGCATGAGCCCTGGAACATGACCTCTCGTCTCCGAGGTCCCTATGGGAATGGTGTTTGAGGAGGTGAAAAAAGGTTGAAATACCTTCTGAGAAGGTACTTGGACCCTTGTGAGTTGATTAATGTTGCAGATTTGTGCTCATTCAATTTGTTCTTTTGCTGGGAGAGGGGGAGGCTACACAGACAGCAACTGGGAAGGGCGGTTTCAAAAGCAACATGACGATTTATTGTATGGAGTTGTGTAATTCTCCTCAGTGCAGCCCAGGAACCACCTTTTCAGTGCATGAGCATGCTTGGAGGTTGAATCGAATGCTTTCTCTTGCAAGCCGGCCCGAAGCCAAGCGGCCCGGACTGACTACAGTCCCGGCCCCGATGGAGCATCCGGCCCGCCAAAGGACACCCCACAGCAGCCACAGGAGCAGTGTCAGCAGAACACTCATTTCAGGACATTTGGCAGAGCAACATGCTTAGCCATTTGACACATGTCTGCAAGGGCCAAGGTAGTCATTGCAGTGCTTTTTCTGTTTGAGCTTAATCCGCATAGCAGGCAAAAGAGCAGTGCGCTACCAGTGTGCGACTTCGCACTGGTAGCGGAGCTTGCGCCATGGCCGAATCTCGCAGTGCAGCTTTCTGGCGTGATGACGAGATCGTCACAGATCGCAGTGGCATACCGCATTGCACTGGAGCCAACCCTGCTTTGATGAAAGAATGCCGCCGCAGAGTTCTATTTGCTTTCAATTCGCTGGAAGGTGATGGTGAAGATGAAGCAAAGGAGAAGCGAAACTTAGACAAGAAGAAGGCTCGTTTCGGTCGACAGCTCTTGGAGGCGCTTCATGGTGAGGCTTGGAGGATTTGCGAACCGCTGACTCTGCAGCTGGCAGAACTGAAGCAACCGGATGGGTATCAGTTGGTTTTCAAGCAGTTGCAGCAGTTGGAGAAGGCGCCCATCATTCGGAAGACAGAGGCACTTGATCATTTTTTCGACAACTGTTTTCGCAGACGAGGGCAGCCAATAGATGAGTACATGCGTTCTCGCAAGCGTGACTGGGAAGATTTGACTGATCTCTGTGAAGGCACTACGATGTCGGAAGACCTTCGTGCTTACTTCCTGTTGAAGAACATCAACCTCAGCCGAGACGACCGCAGGTCAATTCTTCTGGCAAATGCAAGCGATTTCTCCATGGAAGGCATTGAGAAGGCCCTTCGCATCAGCTTCTACGACGTCCACGAGCGCGAGAAGGCGAAGACCTGGCATCAGCGAGCCCCACCTACGGGGAAGAAGCGTCACTGGGCGCATCAAGCTTGGGACGAGACCGAGCTGGCGGAGGAGGATCCTAGCTGGGAGTACCATGAACAAGAATATGCAGATCAGGTTGAGGAGGACGAGCACCCAATAGACTAGATTAGACTATTTTCTGTCTAATAGTTAAATCTTATTTTTCTGACTATTAGTTAAATCCCTTTAGTTTAAATTCTTGTTTTTAGACAAACGTGATTCTAACTAATATACACATCGATTCTAACTAATAGTTTATTTTCCGGGCACAAAAAATCTGACTAATAGTTAGCCCGGAGTTCTAACTAATAGTCAGGGAAAATCTGACTAATAGTTAGAATTTGTGTTGCTTTTGGGGTCGAAGTTTGGTCGAAACTTCGACGACACACCATGTACACACATTTCAAACTGCGACCAAACTGCGACCCCCCAGAAACACATATTTAAAACTGCGACCAAACTGCGACCCCCCCAGAAACACATATTTCAACCAAACTTTCACTCCCAAGTTCAACCTGTTTTGAGAGCCGGCTTTCACGCGCAACAGCCTTCTTGGCTTGTTCTTGGCGCGTGTCTTTCTTTCACGCTCGAATTTGGCCGCAGAGCGCCTTGTGTGCAGACTTTTGCGAAGCGCGTCGTCAAGCCGCAGTCTCTGCAAGAGCTTCTTTCATCACACAAGGCGCTACATTTCTGTGAGCGCTTTCACGTTTCCTTGCTTCACGCACTGTCACGCGGGCGTCTGTCTGTGCGCACGTGTGCATGTTTTGTGCACTATACCCGTTTACGTGACACAGCGAGGGAACACACCTTTCACGAAAAAAACATCTCAAGAGACCACACTGTGGGGCAGAACAATTGCGAGATACCACTTCGCTTTGAGGGGCAAACTGTCAAACACAACCTTCGGGGAAAACTGTTTCGGGTCGTTTGATGGACACATGTGAGTTTATATTGTTGAGAAACAGCTGGAAGAGTTGTGAAAGACCACTTTGAGGGACAAACATTTGGAGGGACTGCCACCACGAGAAAATTTATATTGAAGGGAACCAGTTTTGTGAAAGCCCCCTTTGAGGGACAACTGCGGGAGACCACACTTTGAGGGGAAAATGTGAGAGACCACACTTTGAGGGACAGCTGTGAGACACCATGCTTCAAGGGGCAACTGTGAGAAACCACATTTTGAGGGGCAGCTGTGACAGATCACTTTGAGGGACAACTGTGAGCCACACTTTGAGGGACAACTGTGAGAGAGGGACCACACTTTGAGGGACAACGATGAGAGACCACTTTGAGGGACAACTGTGAGAGACCACAGCTCGAGGGGCAACTTGAGAGCCTTGCGCAAAAGGTTCGCACGGACATGTGGGAGAGGCAGGGTCAAAGCATGTGTTTGCTCACCAAAAAAGGTTCCCTTGTAGAGGCGCGGGCTTTACGTCAGAAAAGAACATGTCACAATGTGTGTTTTTGGAAAAGAGGGGGCCCTTTTAGTAGAGATGCATTGTATTATGTGGTGTCGCAGCTTTTCCAACCTCCGTTCACCCGCAGTTTTCTGTTCACAGGTAGTTGGTGTGACAGCCTGTGGGTTTCACACAAGCATGCTCGTAGCCAAAGCCCGCTTGATTGCTGACCCATCAGTTGGCGTCAGTGACCTGATGGAACCCCTGACGAAGCTGATCAAGGAGAAGAACGAAAAGAATATCTTCAAGCTGATCAGCCCGCCCGCCAATGTTTCATGGAAGTCAGCGACGCCAGTGGCTTGGATGGCTTCTTTGGCACCCCTCTTCAAAGAGTACATCAAAATTGCTCCCAACAGCATCATCTCCGGCAAGAAGCACAAGCTAGGCGTCACTCGCTTAGAGGAGGGTGAAAAAGTGAACTTCACTCGCAAAGCAACGGTCGACTTTGTCGACTGGGTTGATGATACGGTGAGAATGGGCTTGTCTCACTTTCGCACCTTGAAACAGCAGCCAGATGCAAAGGAACGTGCCTTCAAGAGAGCCGACAACAGCCAGAAAACAATGCTGGACTCTGTGCTGGACATCATGTGTGTCAAGATGGGCCCCACTGAGGAGCAAGTAGCTACAATCACAGAGCCCGCATCCGACCATGAGAGCTCAGCCGCGTTGGCGGCCTATGCCCTTGTCCCAACGGAAGCAAAAGGCCCCTTGAACCCCGAGGACATCTTTGACAGTGTCCTGTCCAAGTACGGCAACGAGAATGAGAAGACGGCTTCCGCGCTCAATGACCTCAAGCCTACAGCCTCGCCAACCCCAGAAAATTGTGGGCCCTCTCAAACCTTCCCTTTCCGATGTGGACCTGAAGATCCTTGAGGAAGCCCAGTCTGCATCGCCCATTTGCAAAGAAGGAAAGTCGCAGCAGCAAAGGCTGAACATGGTCAAGAAGAGCACCAATCCAACGGGAAAGAAGCAGGGGCAAGGCAGCAAAAAAGGGAAAGGAAAAGGACAGGGGAAGGACAAAGACAAAAAGAAGCGCAATGATTCCAACTCAGGCAAAAACACAAAGCCTGCTGCCAAAGCCACATCCAGCGGCGCCAAGGCAAAGGACGCGAAACATGCAAAATCATGCAACATCAGCTGGTGTGAAACGACAGCCCTCGGCATCGAGCAGCAGAGAGCAAGACCAGTTCGTTTTGCGAGTGCCCGAAGTGGTTCCAGACCCGGCCAAATGCGATGTTTCCAGGCAAGTGGCAAGGAACAGATTTGTGTCCAAGGCCTATTACGACACAAAGAACTCCATGAGGGCCCAGGGCTGTGAGGATGCTGAAACTCTTGGCTCCGCGGCAAGGGCTGCTCATGCCAAGGCCGGAAAAATCTTCAACCAAGCCTGGCCCGTTCTCAAGAAGGCTAAAGCCGATGTGGTGGAGCCCCAGGATGTTGACTGAAAGAAGAACAAGGTCCATTGAGGCTCCGCGCGTTTCCTTTGATGTGGGGTTATATTCTTCTGCCGTGCGCGCGCATGAGTGTTACCTCCTCAGTTTCCACCAGAATGTTTCGCCGTTTCATGCTGTGATCAGTGGATCAATCAGTTGTTCATGACCAAATGTTGGCCGTGTCATGCTATGAAATGCGCCTGTCAACAGCCGTGAATATGTCAAGTGCATCGTCTCAAATGCCTCTGAGAGCCGGGGAGGGAAACTTCAGGAGCTTGCTGCTGCGCTGGGCGACCGGAAGTTGCGAGTGTCCCAGGTGTACTCTCTTGTTGTTTCCTTCTTTCTTTCTTTCTTTATCCTGTCGCGCTCTCTCTCTCTCTCTCTCTCTCTCTCTCTGTCCTTAGGTGTCTCTCAAGGTAGTGTCTCTCAAGGTGGTGTCTCTCAAGGCATGGTGTCTCTCAAGGCGTGGTCTCTCAAGGCGTGGTGTCTCTCAAGGTGGTGTCGCTCAAGGCGCGGTGTCTCTCAGAAGGTGGTTCAAGGTGTTGTGTCTCTCAAGGCGCCGTGTCTCTCACGGTGTGGCGTCTCTCAAGGTTTTTGGTGTGTCTCTCAAGGTGGTGTCTCTCAAGGTGGTGTCTTCAGTGACTCTGTGTGG